ACACCTAACTTTTATGGTTACCTTATGGTGAAATACCAAATAGTTATGGGAAAGTGACATACACATGGCAAACTTATGGAAACACACCATATATACTTATTCATATGGTGAATATATACTTATTATATAATAATTCATATAATATGAGATACTATAGTCTCTCATATTACAGAGTTATAGTCTCACGTTCTACCCTAGAGTCATAGTCCTTCACATCTACCCTAGAGTCATAATTTTTCGTATATCATACTTTTTAAAAAATCAGTTATCTTCCATAAATGTTTGTATATATCGCTGGTTCAAAACTAAAACGACACTTCTGCACTCACTTCTCATTCAAATAACATGAGAAGTGAGTGCAGAAGTGTCGTTTTAGTTTTGAACCAACGATATGGTGACATAACTTGCATAGTTGTTTGAAGTACATATTATATATTGTTATAATATTTATAGTTATAGAGTTATAATACTTATAATAGTTTCAAAATAGAAAAAAATATCGTACCTATATTACTGAAACTAATGATATCAAAAATGCATAGTGCAACGTTCTCATGAGTTATAATATTTATAGTTTCAAAATTTTAAAAAATTATTGTACCTATATTACTGAAAGTAATGATATCAAAAATAATTATATAGTACAACGTTCCCATGAGTTATAATATTTNTTTTGAACCAACGATATGGTGACATAACTTGCATAGTTGTTAGAAGTACATATTATATATTGTTATAATATTTATAGTTATAGAGTTATAATACTTATAATAGTTTCAAAATAGAAAAAAAAACATTGTACCTATATTACTAAAAGTAATGATATCAAAAATAAATTGTTAAGCCGGTGTTTATATACACCTAAATAAAGTGGGAGATAAGAAATGCAATATCTAAAAATGTGGTACTTTACTCCAATTACACTTTAGAAATTCTAGTAAATTAAGAAAAGACATTTTAATTAGAAAAATAATGAACTAAACTGAATTAAAATTACCTGAAATTTAATCAATAGAGGATTGTGTTATTGTGTAGAAACAGGTATGTTTTGACTTGAAGCAAATAAAAAAAAATACACAGTAGTAATTCTGAGGCCTTTTTTGAATAACATGAGTTCAGAACAAGAAGAAAAAAAATTTCGTAATTTTTTTCCTTCACCCAACAGCAGCTCAATGACTTTAGGAAATGTGTTGCGAGATTTCCAAATCGAAAATTCTTTCAATCGGACATGAATTGAGATTCCTATAGCGTACTTTTCTTGAATCGAGCATGAATGTTTCATAAGGAAATAGAACAACATACAAAAGTTTTCGACCTTTATTTTCACATTGGCCAACATTTTTAACTTTGTGTTTGAACTTCAATTTTTCTTCTACAAATATTACTTCTTTCACATAAACAAGTGAACGGAAAATAACAGTGATAGGGGGTGAGGGGTCATAGGGGTATAACAGTCATAGGGGTGAAGATGACGCGGAGTGCCTTTTCCGGAAGTAAATTTTACTGCTGGAAAATATTGGTATACATGTGCGGAACTTTTCAAATGAATGTTCTGGTTATCCAAAGACAATACTACTTTTTACCTAAACATTTTTTTTTTTACATTTTGTGAGAAAGTATTGAATAGTAAAGAAAAACTAAACTGACGGTACGAAGAGGCTCATAGCTGCGGTTCAATTCCAAATCAAACTTCATATACACTGGTTTAAGAAATTAAGAAAATCTACAGACTTGTTCGATTATCTCTAGAACTACTGGACCCGATTTAATGAAATTTGATGTGTACATACATTGATACTATAACAAAACAAATAACCATTCTGCAATTGTAATACACACGCATCATCGTGCGTTCGGGAGTTGGAAGTTACGAAACTACGGTTGCAGAATAAACCAAAAAAAAAAGTGGATTAATAGAGGGTATGGTCCCCTCTTACAGATATACAGGTCTTACAGCGTGATTACATACTTAAAATAAGGCAGTCCTGTGTGCAATTGGTCTGAATTGCCCTGTGGTAATTTCATACCTTCAAACTCCAACGAGTGCTTCGCATGATCATAAGTAAGTATTACAATTGTTGAAGGGTTATTTGTATTGTATCAATATATGTACACATCAAATTTCATTAAAATCAATCCAGTAGTTCTAGAGATAATTGACCAAGTCGGCAAATTATCTTAATTTCTTGCACCAGAGTATTTTTTATCCGACAAAGTTTTCAGGTTTATAAAATAGTTCAAAATTTAACCCTCAGTTGACACTTTAGGCTGTGTGAGTACCTTGTCGATCAACAATATGCATATGGTTGCATCACTTTCATATGGTTTTAGCAGCTCTCTGCTAGTCCTAAGATGGTCGAAAGTTTGAATACAACGGTAAGCTTCATTTTTAGTGATTATAAAACAATTTAAACTCACAACAATGTTCACCACAAAACTACAGTTATAAAATTTACAAATTTTTTAAAATCTTATAACAGTCAGAATTCTCATTCACGAAATTCCCTCTACAATAATATCGCGATAAATTTTAGTTCAAGTGATCGAGAAAAGATGAGGACATGCATTGTTCTCCATCGCACAGCCAGCCTGAAGATATAGTGCCATATTAAAATTCTAATATTGCTTCTTATATCACTTCTCGTGTTCTTAAAAATCTTTAGTTACTATAAGAAAATAAACATCCTAAAAAAATTTTATGTCCACTGTAAAGCAACTATTTTTTTAAACTATTGTTTACTTTTCTAAGGGATATTAACTTAACATGGCATCTTTCCTAATTTTATTCAGCAAATCAATTTTCAATTCCTTTTAAAACTTCTTTAAGTTCTTATCGATGGTGAAATTTAGAAATAAGTAGTGTCAGTTAAAAGCCTTATTTAATTTTTGAAAATAAAAATACAACCATGTGTAATTAACGGTGAGTAAACACATTTTAATGAAGTTCAAATAATAATCTCTTTGTTTGATTATAATCTTTTAGGTCAAATTAAAGCATACATCAAATGTCGGTTCAAACACTGAAGCAAATAAAACTGCTTTATTTTCTCTCGGATTGCTTAAGTTTATTTTTAGATTCAATTAAAGTATGCCGTTCCTTCAATTTAGTTTATTAACTAAACAAAGTTAATACGATCTTTCAAGTAAGCATTGAATTTGACGGTTAGCGATAATTAAATAATCGTGTTGTTTGTGAAACTTAAAACTATTTCGAAGAAAATAAATATGAAAAGCCTTTTCTTCGTTCCTATTTCCTATTTGTTAGTTTTTATTATTCTAAGAGCTTTTCATATTCCTGATGTTTCCCAAAAAGCACAACTAATTTCAATATCGTTGGAATTTTACCTTAACTAATGGAGAAGCAAACCAGATTTGTTAACAGATGGAACAAAAAATTAAAAAGCAATTATTTCTTAATAATTTTTGGAAAATTCATTATAGTGGTACATTTTATAACAGTCATTGAACAGCCGATCAAATTTTCAGTTTACAACTACTAATGTTCAACTCCGTAGCCTTGTAATTTTGATCCCAATCCAGAAGACAAGGGAACGCCTGAATCAAGTATTGGGAAAAATTTGCCTTCGTGGAGGACTTTTTGATGGAACTAACCCGCATTTGTGTTACATGGAGAAGAAGACCACTAGAACCTCCCACGGTTAGCCTGACTTCGAAAGGACTTCAAACCTTGATGCGTCTTACCACTGAGGATATTTCACGTCAGCACTGTGGTAGGTGCAAGCCGGAAGCGGAATCGTATTGGCCAACCATCGGTGGGATTCGAACCCGGTTCTCCTCATTGAAAGTCATACGCTCTATTCCCTGAGCCACCATGGCTCATTATAGTGTTATAGGAGTTCCGTGGCTTTACGATGTGTCATTATTATAACCGAAAAATCCTTGAAAATCTCTCTCAAAATCAGAATTCAACGTGCTACTTAGCCGTTGCCCTTAATATGTGTTTTTGAATCATTGCCAAAAATAAAAATCAAATAAATATAACCTTTTGAAGTCGTAGCTTAATATTTAAGCAACGAGAGAACAAAATATATAGATTTACTTCAAAAGGAAAGCAGGACAAAAACATCAAAACCTGTTTGATTGTCAGTTAGAGCAAAATTTCACAGAGCAACACAAATTTCATGAGACACTTAAACTGGTTTTCATTAGTGGTTTGATAGATTTTGGTAGTTGTCACATTTACACTTAATGTAATGTGACAATTTAATTTCTAATTTTACCCAAGCCTTTAATTTTCTTTAAACGTTATTCCTTTTTCAATTTGGCAATTTTATTTTTAACTTTCTTGTTGACCTTTCTCATGGTCGTTGCGGTCATCGCACTTCCTGTGGGGAAAGTCAACCAACCCCTCTATTCACGCCTTTCTTTTTCTTCTTTTAATTTCAGGGGGGCTAACTAACCAATCTCTTTCCTTTAAATTTCAAACTCTCCGCCTCTTTAAATTTAATTGGTCGTAGTTTTTCTGGTCTACCCCAGTTAAGGTTTTTTTAAGTCTTTTTAAATACATTCTCTTTTTATCGAGCCTTCGGGCAGATCACCCTTTTTCTCCGAAATGCGGACTTCGGTCCGTATCGAGGGATTTCTTTTTACATTTTTTTTTCTTAACCTTTATTTTAAATTAAATCCGTAACTGTAGTAAATTTCTGTAAAATTTAAAATCAACATTTTATACCTTCAATTTTCTTCAACATTAAAAGCCCTCTCAAATTTTAACTTTCTTCTCATATTTATTTTAACGGTTAAATTACTCGTTCTTTTATATTTAACTTTTTGCATGACGCCTTTGATTTCTTTAAATTCTCTTGTCACCCATTTCCTTTTAAAAGATGTANAAAATCCTTGAAAATCTCTCTCAAAATCAGTATTCAACGTGCTACTTATCCGTTGCCCTTAATATGTGTTTTTGAATCATTGCCAAAAATAAAAATCAAATAAATATAACCTTTTGAAGTCGTATCTTAATATTTAAGCAACGAGAGAACAAAATATATAGATTTACTTCAAAAGGAAAACATAACAAAAACATCAAAACCTGTTTGATTGTCAGTTAGAGCAAAATTTCACAGAGCACCACAAATTTCATGAGACACTAAAACTAGTTTTCATTCGTGGTTTGATAGATTTTGGTAGTGTTTTCGTTTAATCATTGCTGAAATGTTATAGCTCAACTTATAGTATATAGTAATGTACACATATTAAAATCATTTCTGCTAAATACAATCAATGACGAAATTAATTATACATATTATCATAATTTATACATATATCATAATATATTCATATATATATACATATTACCACAAACATATTATCATAAATATAACTGTCTAAAATTACATATTATTGACGAAGATTACGAAACTCTGTTCATATTCAATTCCATGAATAACTGCTATATATTGTTTTTTATTAGGAAATTTGTGTTTTCCGTGTATGTTTTATGAGCGTTATTATGAAATTAAACGTATTCCGATTGGCATTAAATTAAATTTTATATTTATTAAATACTATTTCAGCTTTTAATGCCAGTGTTTGAAATTATTCATTTTAACATGATAATATTTTCATAACAATCAAATTATCAATTATTTATAATTAACGTATTATCTATAAAAAAACATCGTAATTCGTTACGCAATATTGTGTATTTTAACACTCTAGTTTAAAATTATGTACAACATAAAAATTTAAAAATTTTCCTATGACCATTAATTTAAATAATAAAGTCATTAAATAATATTTGCAACATTTGAAACACAGAGCAGACATACATGAACTTGAATCACGAAGGTGTTACAACATTACCCACGCCAAACTGCTAGAGATGCCCGTTCATAGGGTGGGCCAAATTCACATTTCACACTGAGGACAAAGACCTATTTCTTTGTCCTCTGAGTGAAAATATCAAGAGTTATCCATATCCGGAATCGGATTCCAATACACGAACATTAACTTCGCTGTCAGACATCCTGTATAATAAAACATTGAAAATTATCTAAGTTGAAAAAATAATATCTTATATAAATATAACGATAAAAGCATATTTTTCCTCTAAACCTTCAATTTTTTTTTTACTATGAAGATATACACTATTGTCTTTCCTGATTTTTCTTAAGAGTTTATGTTTCTGTAAGTTAAGCATGGATTTCAAACACACGCATTTCTCTATATTCCACTTGAATATATATCTCGAGCTTTAAATTATTATCTAAAATCTGAAGTGCAGGTTTACAAAACTTTGGAGAAATCAGAATCATCAATCAAATTCAGTTTGACAGCGAATTGCAACCCATGATTGAGAAATGTTTACTTTATAAAACAAAAGTTTCTTCAACTTTTCAAAACTTATGATTAAAAAAAAACTTTTACATTGTTTTTGAAAACTATTTCATCATTTTACAATATTTATATGTTACATAACTGTTATACCCAACATTACACTTATATAAATCTGTACACTATCAAAAATAGTTATGTATTTTAGAGAAAAACTGATGTAATAGGAATAAAGCTAACCGTTACATTTAAAACATACAAACTTGCATTTATTTTTTAAAAAAAGTACACTGAAAAACAAAGGAAGAGCTCGACAAACAAAGGGCTCGGGAGCCACAAGCTCATTATCATAAGCCGCAAAAATGTTTTGGCGAACCAAAATTTCAACATAAGCAGTACTAGTACCTATCTGGAAGTAAAACTAAGGAACAATTTAATGTTAAAAAAAAGGAAATATCCACAAATTGCCACTAATCGCCAAAAATTCCATCAAATCTTATGACGTTTTGGAATAATTAGAAGTAGCAGCTTCTACAGTAACAAACATAATTATAATGTGTATGTGATGATTTAATGTGAATTTCAATAGCACTAGCACAGATAGAGACAATACTTTTTGAAGATTCTCTGCGAATAATTTCATTATTACTTGCTCCATGCTTGTCATAAAATCTATCTCAACGCATTAAACAAGTAATTATCTAAACACATTAATATTGAAGTTAGAAATAAATTAAAACGAAGTAATGTTTTTAAAAAAATTAAAGTCAATTCTTACTTAGGTCAATAAAGAAAAATTTTATTTCAGTTACTTTTTATTAAATAATTAAAAAATTTTCTCCCATATAAAACTAAAATTAATTAATTTAATTTAATAAATGAATTAATATTTGAAAAAAAAACTGTATAAACATTAAGGGACACTACAAGTTCAAGAAATGTACTTGTACTAGACTGAATGAATAAAAAGTATTTGATTAACGATAGAAATTTGAACAAGGTATAAGGAGAGTGTGAACTAATAAAATTGAGTTGAATTGATGGATTGAGGGATCACTCGTGCTACCACGTAATGTTCTGTATTGAATTTATCTGTCACAGCGAATGTAAAATAATTATTTAAATGTGCGCAAAAAACTATGTTTTTGTTTAAATAGAGCTATAAGTTGGAAATTATCACTGATGTTATCTCTAAAATATGAGAAAAACTGAATCGCTTATAGTAACATTTAAAATGATGCCTAAGGCTTAAACAATCAGAAAATTCCATTTCGTTTCTCACTCTTCCCTATTTAATGAATGAATTAATGTTTGCAAAAACAACTATAATTAACATCAAGTGTCATTCCACTACAAGTTTAAACAAAATGTATTTGAACTTGAGTGAATGAATAAAAAGTATTTTATTGACGATTGAAAATTCGAACAAGATATATAGAGAGAGTGTGATCTAATAGTAGGAATTGGAAGAAAAAATTGCTTAGACTGAGGAAATTTGGATGTGTTTTTAAAATTCAATTTTCAATTCTCTTCTGTTTCCTCAATAAATCAAAAAAGATCTGCTTTTATCAGTTCCAATTTTAACAGTAATGATTTGTCAGACTTTGATAGTATATGCTTTTTTATCTTGCTTAAATATTAATTTGCGTATGGTCGTTTGTATATTTTGTTTTAATTGATGACTAAAAAACACGCTAAAAGAACAATTAATTACAACTCATTTTACATAAATGATCTTAGTATATTATATGATTATTTATAGGCAATAAAATGTTATATAATGAATATTTATCCTTGCACCATTTTTTTATCGTACAAAACAAAAATTGCTAAGAGAAAGGATTTAACTAAGAAAACATTCCAAAATAATCTTCTAAGATACGAAGAGAAAAAGTAAATATTTATTCAAAAGTTTAACAGTACAAAATCCCCGATATTTATCTAAGTTTCTCTTTATTAGATTTGCATAATGAATTTAACATATAGCATTTTGACAAGGTAAATATTTTCATATTAAATTTGTTTTTCATTTTTGTGAAAAATATAAAACGTTTAAAACAACAGATAAAAATTCTAACTCATATTTTGATATGAAATGTAAATGAAAGTTATGAGGAAATTGGATATGTATGAAATAAGTCAATTAAATATAAAGCTCTAAAACAATATTTTGCATCGTATTTAAGTTGGCATAAAATCCAAAATTTCAAAGTAAATTCTACTATATTCATTTTATAAAAATACTCGTGTTTTATTAAAATCGTTCGAAAAAACAATATTTTTATTTGCATAAGTTCTTGTCAGTTAAATAATGTTATCTTTTAAAACCTCGAGAACTATTAAGAGATGATATTTTAATTCATTTCGTTATATTTCTTTTTCAGGACATTAAATACATTAATATACAGGCAATGAAAAATAAAACAGGGATAAATTGAACAAAATTAAAATGACAGTTTTAAAGTAACTATAACGAAATTAAATTGCCCAATTTAACGACATTGAAATTTAGAGTGAAAATTTAAAAAAATTGTCTAAAATTTTTTACCTAAATTCTTTAAAATAAATCGTGGAAAAAACATGCATTAAAATGTGAGTAAATCGAAACTTACCCATTTTTTAAAAACATATTAAAGTAATTAGTTATTAGTAGTTAAGCATATTTCGATAAACTTTGATCAGCTAAAACGATTATTTTATTAAAATTGTGGAAAAAAAATTTTTTTGCAAGCATTGAATTTAGAAATCAATTTTTTTACAAATTAACGGAAACCAAAGCACTGTAATGGTGCCAATACAGCTTTTCATTGATGCACTGAGAAAAAAAATTATTGTGAAAACTACCAGAAAATGGTAAAATTTGCCGTATTTCTGACTGTATAGGAACGTATTCTGACTGTATAGGTGATTTTTGTAAAATTAACAATAAAATATAGTTTTATAACATGTGATAAATTTTGGTAAATGTGGTAAAAATTGCTAATACCGTGACTCCGTAGACATGTCTTAAAAGCCATTTAATCAGTTAAATTTGAAATTCAGTTTCATATTTACTAAATGCGTGGGTATAAGGACCATAATTTGATTTTGATTTTACGATAATATGATTTTTCGGTAAACCATAACCATATAAATCAAAAATTATCCAATGAATGGTTTAAATACCGTATACAGACAAATCGCTATCGATCCTGACCCATCGATTAGAAATCACATATGAAGTTTAATAGAAAAATATTTATCCTAAGAATCAAAAAAATTTGTAATTGAAAATAAATTACGTTTATGGCACACTAAATTACTTTTATTTTTAAAGAAAGTTCACACCTATTAAATACCTCACTGTATATATGTTAAATTTCTACTTCATTCTTAAAATAGATAATTTTATATTAGTTAAACTTTAAATTTCTCTCTAAATACAAAATAGGTTGCCATAATGTTGCATATCTTCACATTATAAGAAATAAATTAAAAGTTTTTACTTTAACTATAAATTAGACTAAACTTTTTACAAAAAATATATATATATTTTTGCAGAANATATATATATATTTGCAAAAATATGAAGACAAACTACTATTGTAATTCAACAAATTGGAGTGCCGAATGAAAAATTTAATAATAGGCTGAAAGTTTAAGTGCTTCAATATTCCAATATTGTTACTGTTTTTCGTATGATAATTGCATCCCATCATTTTTATTTCTTAAAGCAGTAAAATGTTTCCTTCTGAGTGTTTAAAAAAACTAATGACATATCTTTATTTAATGAGATAAAAGCTTAATGTTTCAAAATAAAATATCCACATACTCCATCAAAAATAGAAAAGTTAACAAATAAAAACCTAGTTTTTTTGTTAGAAATTTTATTAGAAAAATAATGCACCCAACAATGGAACATAAAATTAAAAACTCGACTTTCCATGAATAATGATTTCCAACATTATTTGTAAAATTAATCTCTTTTTTTCGGAATTCAATGTGTATAAACATAATTTAATTAAAAGCTTCATATTTTTCTTTTATGACCGAACTTACACACTTTAGTTGATTTATGATTGTCGTAATTTCTACTTTAAAAAAAACCAATAATTGATTTGAAAATACTTCAGCAGGTATGAAAAATTACTGTTTTATATAGTCTTGGATCAGATCACTGAATCAGCTCAGATATTAAAATTGTCAAGTAATGACAAAGTATTCAATAGTTTTTTTCTGCCTGATTGTTTGTTAAAATGTTGGTTCTATGTATTTGGAAAATGACTTAATGGTTGATTTTTGTTTCCCTTTTAGCTTTAACATTTAACTCTAAACATCCCAACAGTTAATATATACCTATTTCTACCATATCCGGTCAAATGACCGAACTTTATGTTTCTTGATTGAATGTATGAAATATGGATGTTAGGAAGGAAATAAACTAAAAAAACTTCATTATAATTATATAAAATTGCATATTGCCAATTTTTATGTATTACGAACACAAAGAATAAGAATTTTTTATTCATTGCTCAGCGCATTTTTTACATATACAGGGTGCTTCCATTGTACATTGTACATTTTTCTTATAGTCCTAATGATAATTAGGACTATAAGAATATATAAGACAATTTTAATAATTATAATTCTTATAATTATTCTTATAATTATAAGAATATATAAGAATTATTATATATAATAATAATAATAAATA